TTTTAACCCCCCCCCCCCCCCCCACCACCCCAAAAGGCCATTTATTTGAATTTAGTTTCAAGTTTTTCCTATGAAAATTGTATAATTGACTAATAATAGTAATTATTAAATATATATAGCTTCATTTGGTAGCAAATTTTCATCCCAAAAAATTAATTTTTTGACCGTTATTTTATTATTCCAGCCGTCATTTTTTACGTTTTCACTCACAGGTGGGATTCACTTTTCCCTCTAACAGTCAAAAAATTAATTGTCATAATTACTACCAAACAGGCCCATAGTATTTTATAATTTTAAATGTTTGGTATGTTTAATTATTAAATGATTTATAAATTGATTAAAAATTAAAAAGAGTATTTTTTAAAAAAAAAAGTTTTTTACGCTTAGAATTTGGCTTCTAGGCCTAGTCATGCTTTACTTTTTAATCAATTCTCATAATTACTACCAAACAGGCACATAGTATTTTATGATTTCAGATATTTGGTATGTTTAATTATTAAATGATTTATAAATTGATTAAAAATTAAAAATAATATTTTAAAAAAAAAGTTTTTTACGCTTAAGATTCGTAAAGCTTAAAATTTGGCCTCTAGGCCTAGTCATGCTTTACGTTTTTTAGAAAGCTGGATTTATGTACTCTCATTAAACATTTAATATTTGGCACAACGTGACATAACATAAACGTATCAAGACATTATTTCTTTCCTTCCCCTTACCACCAATTTCAGAAGACACGCTAAAGAAAAAAATGCTGTTTCGAAATACATTAATTTTAAGACAATTTCTTTGGTTACATAACAAGTAACCATGAAAACTGAATCATTAACAAAGTACAAGGAATACCTGGAATGTCGACTGAATAACATACACATTGGGATATATTTTACAAAGGTCATGCTGGCCAAGCTTTGTGCGAATATGTTGGACAATCAAATCAATTGCAACATGATTGTCGCCTCCCCGGGGTATAATAACATCAGCATGTTTCTTTGATGGCAGAACAAAATCCTCAAAAGCAGGCTTGACAAACTTTGCATACTGCAGACCAAACCACAGCACTCACCATAAAACATATGCTATAAGGTGTCTGAAAGTATAAAGGAAATAATCTAGATGCATCTCAAGCAGAAAAATCAAAAGTTGACTTACCCTTCATAAGGTCTACCAACTGTAACGAAGAAGAATCATAACAAAGAATGTATGAAAACCTCTATTCAAATATAAACTAGAAGATGATGCAAAAGTGTAGAGTTCTTTATCCATGTTTTTAAGTACACTGAAAATAAATTGAACATCAATTGGGGATATTACATAAACAACAAAACTGCCCTGATGCATTGAACAACCAGAAAGATCCAGATCTCCATGATGTGTGGATGCACTGCTTAAGATCCCTGGAGGGAAAGGTGGGGATTTCATGAAAGAAAAAGCTTACCTGTTCAAGAACTGAACTTATGTCCCTTCCTCTCTCGACTGTATCACGCCGTATTCTACGAGCAAGCCTCACATCAGCATCTAAAATCAATCAATCGTGTTTCAGTATAAGAAATTGAGAAAAGGGGGAGAAGAGATGACTACTCATTAATATGATATGCAATAAAATGAGAAGCCTCTCTAAGAAGACGAGATTCAATCAGAGTCATAAATTAGAAATTTAGACCACGTGATATATACCAGCAGAAACCAAAAAATACTCTAAAATTGCTTTGATGGTAGTTAATTTTTGAGTCCTACTCTATCTCACTCAAAGGAATTAGAAGCTTCAAGGTAGTTCGGCCATGTCATTTATGGAGATGGCCCTTGAACAGTTACACTGCTGAGTTAGAATATATCTATTGTTTCAACTAATAGTTTATAATACAGTACTCAACATTATTATTGTAATAGACTTCAACTAACCCATGTTCAAATTCAGATCATAGTTTATTTTTCATAAAAAAATAAATAAATAAATAATTCCTCCATAAAGTAAAACTCATCAACACCTGAACTTCCTAAATATCCATCACGCCAAGAATATCCCACCAAAGAACAAGCAAACCACTCGCTCCAACCCCTTTCCTTCCAATTGCTTCTCCACCCCAAACTAAACCACACTATCATGCCATGGTGCCAAAATTATAACATGCAAAACCACAGACCACGAATCTGAGGTCTCTTCATACTGCAAACATCGTTATAATATCCGATCTCGATCACTATTACGAATCTCGGAACAAGATTTGTGGTTTCTCTTTTTCTCATTTTAAAGAAACATGAACTTATTATGGGGCACGCTAATGCCTAACTTCAACTTCATATGAAATATAACAAGATAAAATAAGTTGCAATAATACACAACTACGAAGGTCGACCTGTGTCAACAAAAATCTTCATGTTCATCAAATTCCGCACACGTTGATCGTGGAAGACAAGGATCCCCTCCAAAATGATTACATCAGAGGCATTCACCTAACAAAGTTTTTGTGTCAATATTTTGGATAGCTATTGAATTGGGATTCAGCAGAGCAGAAGCAATAACAACAATAGCAGCCCAACAGTACTATTTCCCACATATCTTCCCCTTTCTTTTCCCCAAAGAAAGCCACAACTCAGAACATATAGAATGATCACAAGCCTGAGATTTTCTTAAGCAAAATTCAATCGGCACAAGGACATAAAAGAACATTGATTAGAAAGTAACTATCAATAGCATCTCTCTTTTTTTCATTCACAATTTCTTAAAGATTCCAAAACCGCAAAGGTAGCTAAACAAGTCCTCTTTCCTAACAAGTCTCACAAGCACGCCACACTAATTGTGTTTCAGAATCCAGTTCATGCTATTCAAAAGATTTCAAGATGATTAACAATTTCAAGAGATCTTCGTCACAGTAGACACTCATTTGTCCATTATTTATCTTTCCTAGGAATTAAATTGGCACAATACAGCGAATGTGAAAAAGATTTATAGACTCCTCATTTAGATTCTAATTAATAATATGAAACAAGAAATATAAAATTTATAACTCCAAAATGTGACCTGTCGGAAGCTATCTTTAGACCGTTGATGTGTTTTAAAATCATACATTGGGACATGTACAGAATGCCCACTCTTGAGCTCATTAACACAATCAAGTAACTGCTCTGTGTCAAAAGCATCTGCAACAGATCATTTCATGTTGGTTAGCATAAAAATATAATTTTTTTTCCATGAATGCCAATAGCAGAAAAGCTGAAACAAACAGCATGATTGAGAGACTGGATGCTAAGTTACCTGGATGATCAAAGTTATATTCATGAACTCGTTCCAACTCTTCAGGAGTCAAGCCACGATAGAAAGAATCCTACACAAGTACCAGAGTAAGAATAACGAGATTTTGCACAGAAATGTTCATATGGAAAGAACAGGACAACTAAATTCTTACCAACACATTGTATAATTCCTATGATGCAGTTGAAGAAAAATACAGAAGATACACATGATTAGAGCATATAACCAATTTCAAAACTGCATGCATTTCTTAATCCCAGTCCTGCCCCTAGGACGGAGCAGCCAATCATTATCCATGAATACCTAAGGTAAAATTCATTGCAAAGCTTTAATATATGATGCTTAACAACATTCAAGCAACCACATTATGTTATTTTTAACAGCATTCGGGAAATGTGTAATCCCCTGCTTTAACATCTAATTGTTATCAGGTGATGCAATCCCAGGGGAATGAAAAAATTGCATATATATATATATATATATATATATATATATAAAAGAATGAATGAAAGAAAATTAAAAACACCCACCACCAGCACAAACCTGGTTAACAAGAACGACACGATGATCGTGAAGCTGTTGAATAATCATGTCACAGACCGTTGTCTTCCCGGATGCCGTACCACCCGAAACGCCTACTCCACCACACACACACACACAAAATAATAATAATAATAATAATAATAATAATAATAATAATAATAATAATAATAATAAATAAATGAAATTCAACGAGAAAGGGCAACCTCAGATTTTCGAGTATCGAATTATGAGAAAATAAAGAAAAACTAGACTAAGCTGACGGCCAGCAACCTAAAAACCCACCGCTTATCAGGTCGGGTTTGTTCAAAGAGGAAGGACTAGTGTGAATGTCATGATAATCAAATTACCTATAACGAAGGGCTGCTTGATGACAGAAGAATCGACAAGGGGAGTGGAAAAAGAGGGAGTAGTAGGAGTGGAGGAAGAACGAGAAGTAGATGAGCTCGGTGCGGCGGACATAAGGCTGTCGAGGCGGAGGCCGGAGAAGTGTGGACCCGACGCGGCCTCCATCACGTAATCGATTTCCTTCGTCTCCGCCGGCATTGTCTCCGTCTCAGCACAGATTTGAGTTAAACGGAATTGTTTAGCTGTGGGTTAGGTATTTAAATATAGTTTTACAACAGAAATCGCGTGTTTAATTTATAGTAGGAATCCTTTCGACTGTTGGCGTCCTTTACAGGCTGAGAATTTTTATCCAAGAATGTGATGTGCCTACTGATTCGCCTAATAATGAATGTGATCGTAACCCCAATTATAAATAAATCTATTTGAAAATTTCAATTTTATTACCAAATACGGCTGATTTCACAATGACTAATTAATTAATTCGAGCACGTTCTTTTGTTTATATCTTATTTTAATTGATAAGGCTGTTAGGAGTGGCACGACTCGTTTTGAATGGAATTAGATTTATTTTTTTCATACCATAAACTATTTGTATTTCATAGTCCCGTTTGGCCTCCATTAAATTACATTTCATTTTTCTCTCTCCTATTTTCAACCACACAATCTTCCATAAAACAATATTACAATTAAATTGAAAATTTTTCCCTCTTTTTCCACCACACATTTTTCAAAAAAATATTATTCCTCTCAGTTTCATTATCAAGAAATGGAGGCCAAACGGGGCATAATTGACATGGGAGTCACCCAATTGCTTCTCTTACTTCCAATTTTATGGTGCAGAGTCCAAGACGGTTCGTTATCCATGACGAATTTCGTACAGTAAATTATTTTTAAAAACAATGAAGTCTTGTTTGTCTTCTTTATGTTAATGAATTATAATTCTAAACTAGAATTCTAAATGGACAAATATTTTTTAAAATACTGTTGAAATTGAACCAAAAATAAGTGGTTGCATTAAAAAAAATTGTTGGAGATTTTTTATTGCTGTGTCTCAACTTTGTAGAGTTGGCAACGGTTCGATTCAGGGTCGGTTTGACTAAAACTATCACCTAGACACCAATTTTTTGGTCATACCGTAGCAACGTAAGTTGGTTCGATTCGTATCCCGGTTCCGCTCGATTCGAACGGTTAATAACCAAGAAAATAAATTATTTTTTATGAGTCCAACCGTCAAATTGAAAAAAAAAAAAAAAAAAAAAAAAAAAAAAAAAATTT